CAAGATCAGTCATCACAGGCAACAAAATGCTGTAGGTACAATGCCAAAGAAAGGAGCAAATCATCACATAGAGAGTTAAAGGGGATCTGAAGAACTGATTCCCAAGTGCCTGGGCCAGATCAGGACTGTCAAGGGGGCATCTCAGCAAGACAGGAGGGGCATTTGTGAGGAAGAAAGAGCAGCATTCCCAGCCCCATTCCTCTTCTTACCTCTTATCCTAGGCCTCATGGAACATGAGTACCCATTTTCCCCAGAGCTGAACATTTGGCCCCTGAGAAGGATGTGTTCTGGATTCTGGATGCTAACAGAAGTTCAGAAGGAAAGAGGGGAGCTGCAGCCTGGAAACCTGGAGGAACAAACCGCTGTGAAATACTTTGGCTCTCAGAGTTTGTCTGGCAAGGTGAGAATGAGTCTGAGACCATGGGAGCAGAGCACCTCATAGGTCTGTCTCTGGCCCACAGCAATAGGGCTGCCTCAAGGGCAAAGGAATCCTGGCTGCTGAGGAACTCCCTGCTTCTGTCCTTCTTCTCTCTACCTCTTCAAGACCTGTAGACCTAGACCAAGCCCACCAGGGTCCTGAGCACTTCTAGACACAGGAGGGAGACACAGAGTCACTAGCCTCCTGGGCCAACCTGAGCACATCTAGGATGGCTGTCCAGATACTGGCCAGACCTTCTCACCAGCTACATGATAAAAACGCATGTACCCCTAGACCTCAGAAGGGAACCAGATTGCTGATGTCATCATTGGTTAAGAGTGTTCAGACAAAACTGCCTTGGATTTGCCATGGGCACAGAGAGGACATGGAGAGACACACAAGAGGGAAGCAGGCCCCATGAACATAGACACAGAAATTGAAGCCAAGAAACATCTGGAAATAACCAGAAAAAGCAGGAGGCTCTCTTCCCTAGTGCTAGGTCCTTCTGACACCTTTACCTGGAACCTCTGGACTCCAGAAATGAAGACTCCCCACCACTGTAAGCCCCTCTGCTAGTTGTACACTGTCACATGCGCTCTAGAAAACCATGGAACCTCCAGTCACAGCAGGGATAGATGGAAAAGGGGATGCGGAGCAGGGCTAGGGCCCAGAGCGCCCTGTCAAGCTATAACTTTCAAATGACCCCCTCCTGCAGCCACCCTCCCCTGCTGAGAGCCCCAGGAGGAAAGCTGGCATCTGCTCCCCCAGCCACCTACAACAACACACCAGAACCCAGGGGGCCTTGGCCTGCCTCCCCTGCTCCTGGTAACCTACCCTCATCCTGTCCTGTGGCTAGGAAATTTTCCATTATCCCACCTCCAGGTCAAAGTCATTAGATTTAATCATTAACAGGGGGAGGGGTGTTAATTAATAGGGTAGAATGATTTACCCATGCTGATGTGGACACAGTTGGATGTTAAGAACAGCTGATCTGACAAGCATGGGAGACGCAGGACCTGACTGAAAAGAGGCTGGAATGTACTCCTGGCATATCCCCCACCCCCACCAGCAGTTCGGAAGGCATCAATAGCCATTTCCTATGCCCTGCTTTGGAAAGCACCAAAGAAGAAAACATCTGCAAGCATGTAATGGATGTAACCCATTTTTGGGACAACATAAGCCCAATCCTCTCTCTAATATAACAGGATTGCCTCTTGTTAAGCCAGTTTCAAGGCTGAGGAAATTGAGAGTTTGAGATGCTAAGCATCTTGTTTAAGGTCACAGACACTAAGTGATAGAACTAGGATTTGAGCCCAGGTAATGCTGACCACCCTACCCTGCCCCACCCCACCCCCGTGTCTCTCTCCCTCTCTCTCTCTCTCTCTCTTCCTCTGATTATCTTGGGAGTTACAGCATCTTGTTACCCTACTTTTGTGACACTTCGTTCTAGTAGTACTGACCACTTAGCAGCGGCTTGGCACTTAGACTGAATGAGGTCCAGAAACAGACACTGATCTGTTCTGAGTTCTGCTGGACCTGCAGCTCTTCACGGAGGGCTGGCATTTGCAAATGCTTGTGGAAAGAGTCAATCCAACCTGTAAGATGGTTTGGGCTAACCAACCTATGGACTGGTCTTCTGTAGATGACCATCTGGGTGCCCATATATTTCAAGAAGTCATCTGGGTCAAGTCCTGCCACTGGCCCTGCTCTAGCTTGATGCCAGTCAAGCCCAAAGGCTTGCACAGCTGCTCCTGAGTCTCTTCCACAGCTAGTGACTGCTGCGGTTGGTGGAACAGTAAGGCACTTTGGAAGAGAGTGTGTTGAATGAGAGTCCGTGCCAGCCCCGTTCCCAAGAGTACCAGCTGCAAGGCTGCCACCAGGGCCTGGCATAATTGCACTGATAGGATTTTTCACAGACAAACGGGCCTTTGAAGCTCCTTCTTCCAGCACATCGCAGAAACCATGTGTCTACACCAATGGGGCAAAAACAAGATGTAGTCCATTGACCTAGAAGGTAGCACAGGCAGCATAGTGGGTCATTACGTGATGGCATCACCATGTCACATCTCTGTAAGCTTAAATATTCATGAGCCAGAATTGTGCCCTGGAGCAGTTATGACTCTGCAACCCGGGGTGCAGTGGAGGGGGCGACCAAGTGGGCACTCTTCACACAGACATATGTGAGCAGACAAAGAGACAGACTCAGTCCCCCTTTCCAGGCAGGCACAGGACCTCTGCAACTCCCCAGCCCTGTGTGTGCAATCCACACTGCGTCCTACACACCGAACAGGTGCTCACAGTTACTCAGCTCAGAACACAAATAAAGGTCAAAGCAACATGCACATCTTCACAGCCACCACTCCATTTGGCCTGCGGAAGCTGTGCTGGGGACTGCTCCACCTCCCTCCTGCCAGGTAGCCTTTTATCCTCATGGTGGCCAGGGAACTCTCTTTCCTCTGACCTCCCCTGGACCTCTAGACCCTGCACCACCGCTACACAACTGCTCCAAGGACCCCTTTTATCATTGCCACTAAGCCTCTCTTGGCCCCCATCTAGCCTAGAACTTTCATATAAAGGGAAGTCAGAATCTGGAGAATGAGACAGAAACACTGAGGACAGCAAGGCACCCTAGGAATTTTAGGGCTAAAATTTAAGGGAAAGGAATCTAAGTAAACTAGACCACCCTCTGAGAGTGGAATCCAGATAGAGGAACCCTCACACTGAGGTTCCGCATGGAGACAAGCCAGGAGTCCCCCAGCACTACATTAGATGTGGGCTGCCTCTGTGTCAGGTCCCTTACTCCACGGACCCTCAGCAATGAAGCATGGGGGTTCTGACACGGCAAAGGGGATGGGGGATGAGCTCAGGTCCTTCAGTCCAGGACAAGGGGACAGAAAATGACTCTCTTTAGAGGACACAGTGTCCCTAAGAGTGTGTGTGGGAGGGAGAAACAAAGAGAAAGAGGAAAACAATGGCTAAGGCACCCATGCCTTTTCTCCGAGGTTAGGTGCTTCACTACTTCTTCCTGAACCCTTGCCCTGGGATGTGCTCCACTATCCAAACCGAGCAAAGAAGCTGTGAGAGGGGGCAGGGCGAGGAAAGAGGAAAGTCGTTCCCAGAGTCTCGGCCACTGTGAACAGCAAATGGAGGGCCCACTGCTGAGTGGCTGCAACCTGGCCTTGCCCTGGAGAAAGCTGAGCCTGCCGCTGTGTAAAGAGATCCCTAGGGGAAGGGGGGGAGGGGGAGGGCAGCTATTTTTGGAGCAAAGAGGGGAAGGGGCCATGGAAAGCCTTATAGAGGATCCCATACTGACGGTTAGGTTAAAGCTGCCCCTAGAGTGGGGCGGTAGGTGATCAAGACCCCATTCTCCTGGAGCCATGCCTAAACCTGCCGACCCTGTCTCATACATCTACATGGGAAGCAGAAGAAGACAAGATCTTCTGAGTAAATTGGGAGCATGGGGAGCTTGGGAGAGGGTTGAAGGGGAGGGGAGAGGCAGGGAGGGGAGCAGAGAAAAATGTAGAGCTCAATAAAAAATAAATAAATAAATAAGATTAGAAAGAAACTAATGTCATGGCCCTGCTGTGTGCCTCCTCCGGCACTGAAGGCTTTCTTCTCCTCTATCTCTGTCCCCTGTGTCTCCTAAATCCATCAGGGGCCCCTCCCCAGTGACCCTACCGCAGTGCAGGGCACTCCAGCTCCTATGAGCATCCTTTTGTCCTCACTGGTCCCATACCAACGCAGTGTGTTCTCCTAGTAGCCTAACTTCCATGCCTCTAGTCACAGCAAAGCATTTTCTTTCTTCAGCCAACAAGGAAAGTGGACACCAGTCATCTGTAAACAGTCCTCCCCACCAGAGGGGCACCCTTCTCCATCCCCCCCCCCATCTCATCCTCAAGCTCCCCTTGCAGGCCTTTCACCTAATCTGCAGCCCCATAATGTGGTAAGCAGAACGTGAAATCTAGTTCACAAGCAGGATTGGCTTTCACCCCCATGGCTCCTTCTTTACCTACCCTAAATGTCCCGCTTTTCCCAAGCCCTTGGCCCTCTCTCATTCCAGCCATGCTCTTGAGACCCTCCTCAGCCTGCTCCTCCTCTCCCTGTTCGGGTTATTCCCAAAACTGGACAGGATCCAAAGCCCGTACCTGCCCTCCAAGTTTTCACTTCCACTCTAGTGTTTTCCTCAAGGAAAAGTCCTCTCTTAGTCTAACCTTAATCTCTCCTGCTGCGTGCCTAAATGCCCTTTCCACCTTTTCTCTTTATGAAATCTCCTTTACATCATAAATACCATCTTCCTCTCAGATTGCGCCCTTCCACTTCCCCAGACCCTGAAACCTGCCCCAGCTTGAAGAAGTTCTTGATAGCCCCTTTTCACATCTACCTCCTGCCCGGAGTCTAGGATACCTGGATGCCCGCGATGACTACGAGAGCGACCCGACCCGGTCTGGCTCTCCAGCCTGAGGGGCCGCGACCTGAGCAGCCGACAGCGCAGCCACGACGGGGTTAAGCTCAGGACTTGGGGACGAGGGGGTTGGGAGGGGCGGTGCGGAGCCAATCCGCTGCAGCACAGTCCCCGGGCCGAGTGGGGCGCGCCGAGCCGGGAGCTGCGAGCCGAGCCTAGCGCCCGGCTAGGGCCGGGGCTGGAGCGCAGCGGAAAGGGAGTGCGCCCTTCCCAGCCCGAGTCCCTCCGCCGCGGTGCCCCACGCCATGGAGCCGGATAACAGCCCACGGAAGATCCAGTTCACCGTGCCGCTGCTGGAGCCACACCTGGACCCCGAGGCGGCCGAACAGGTATGGGCAGGGCGGGGCAGCGGTACTCAGAGAAGGACTAGGGACCGGGTCGTGGAACCTGAATCCATGCCTAGCCCCCCTGCCTGGCACCGCACCCCTCCAGGGATGCATTCACCCAGTTTATGGGGGGGGTCTCCATCCCCTCCCCCAACGGCGGAGCACACAGGAGACATCCCTGTGCGGTGTGTCTCCGAGAGCGTCGTTTCTCCCAGCCCTGCCTTGGGGACACAATCCCTCCCCCGCTGGCGACCTTGCGACCCCTCACTCTCAGTCACCCCCCGGAGTTTCCCGGCTGGGTGTTGGCACTGACCGCCGGAGAGAGCACAGGGCGGGGGGCGTCAAGTGGGAAAAAAGAGACAGCTCCGCCCCTCCGACTCATCCGCACTTGGGCTCTGAGTGTGGCACCCAAGGGGATGGGGACAGCGATGGAGGAGCTTTGAGGCGAGGGCGGGGGGTCTGCAAGCTGATGTTTGTTCCCTTCTGTAAATCGGAGCACGTGGGTCCTGGGTCTAACTCCTGCCCTTTGGAGTAGGGTGTGGGGGTGGAATGTGAGGCTCAGTGCGGTAGACTAGAGCGTCTAGGGCTGGGGTCCAAGCTTAGCCACCAGCAAGTCACCAAGAGAGCTTGGCTCACCGGGTGGGAGTGCAGGGCCCTGGCCCAGCCTCCTGGCCTGGCCTATTTTTAGCTCAGAGCAGCCTGGCAGAGGCGGCAGTGTGTGAGTGAGCAATGTGCTTCAGCGTCAGTGAGCGTATGGAAAGGCTACTACTACCTGCAGCCTGTCTCTTTGCACATTCCCTGGCCATGTGGAGGCCAACTCCACAGGAGCATCCAGCTCTCTCCAGGCTAGGGCTGCTGCCTCTCACTGCCAAGCTCCCCACCTGAGAGACTCTGAGACCTCTGGGAATGGGCAAGAGGGAGAGATGTTTCCACGTTGCTTGGGCTGATTGATAGAATTGGGTGTGGACAAAAAGGGCCAGCATATGAGATCTTTAAAACTTCTGCTCTCCAGACAAGGGAGGGCCAGGTACCCTGCCTTCCAGCGTCTCTAGAACTCTCACACACCTGAGAGGAGGGGGAGGGGGAAGAGATGTTCCATGGGCTCAAGGAATAGGACTATGCCCTAAGACAGGAGATTGACTAAGATGACTTCAGACCCAGGAGGAAGCTCAGGAGTGGGAGGAACCAGAGGTTCTGAGAGCTGCCTCACACTGGCAGACAGGATCTGACACCTATTTCTATTTGGTGTTGAGGTGGGAGGGAGGAGGGCAGGCTTGCTGATTCACGGAGTTGGGGGCAAAGGAGCACATGTGGGCACATGACAGTGTTAGGGAGCCAAAGTAGGCAAAATCTGGGGCTCTGCCCACTCTTCTCTAGTCTTCAGAAATCTGTCTCCTGGGCCTAAACGTTTGCCCCCAGTCCTTGCTGTGTTACCAAGTGTATAGACAAAAGTTCCAAGCATAGCAGGAGCTCCTACCCCAGCCTCCAGGGGGTGGGGGTGGAGAATGAGAAGCTAAGAGTACAGCAGAGTTGGGAGTGGGGGTTGCTAACCTCCACCACAACCTTCATATGTCCTTGAAAACTAGGAGAGCTAGGGGCAGAAACAGAAAAGAGACCTCTCTGTTGGGTACCTAGGACCCAGGGAGTCTGGCTTTCCTCCCTTCTGACAATATCACAATTCTCAAGTACTCAGGGTGCTTCAAATTCTTGTCTAAGGCAAAAAAAGTCCGTTAAGGGACCGGTTCAGCCTCTTGGGCTCCCAATATAGGTGCTGTTAAGTCATTAATCCCCATTCCACCCAGTCTCAGTGGCTTCCATTCCTCTCCAGCAACCATCCCAACCCCCACAAACTATCTCACCCCACTCCTACTCAGTCAGAAGGCAAGGAGTCAGATCCTAGCAAAAAGGTGGTCCCACTGCTACACACATGAAGCATCTTGTACCAGGAACAGTCAGAGACAATTCACATTTAATATCTAAACATACACACACATACACACACACACACACACACACACACACACACACACGTCTGGCTCTACTGGAACCTTGAAACATCACTAAAAGCAGATGTCACTGATGTCTCCTGAAGCCCCTTCCATAAATGCCTTTTTCCCTTTGGGAAGAGACCCTCTGGCTCACACACTTCCTCCTACTGTTCCCACTTTCTAGGCATCTTGTCACCACTGCCAGTGGTGCTGATGCCAAGTGATAGATACAAACACATCAAAACCTGATCATTTGGGTCCTCACTCCTTCCCGCTTCCCCACAGCTGTTTGCTTTACCTGAGAGAACTGTAGGAGCTCCGGAAGGTCTTCCCCTGAAAGGGAAAAACTACACCTCCCAAGAGTCAGTGGAATTCAGCAACAATCAGCTTAACAGCCAGCAGGACAACAATTAAACCCTCCAGCAGGGGTGGCTAGAGCTCAGCTGGAACCTTAGCCACCAATCAGCTTTATATCCTTGTTTCCCCTGGGGCTGGCCAGGATGCTAGCCAAGACCCCTCCTCACGTCCTGTTCATCATTGGGACCACTTCCCCTGTTCCCTAACTAATCAAAAAGCCAGTGTGTCCAAGGCAGAGTGTTGAGGAGCTGTGGCAGTCAGGGGAGAGGTGTACTCAAACCTTTCTTCCTTTATGATGGGAGAGCCTAAGGGAGGCCTTCAGCAGACAGGTATGAGCCCACCAAAGGTTAATGTCTGCTTAGGGGCTGGACTGGAAGCTGAGGGAAAGTCCTCTGACCTCATGTTATTTTTGAACATTGATCCAGGATTGAACAAAAGACAACAGAAATCAATGCCCAGAGTGGACAAAGCTTCTGAAAGGAAAGCTGAGTAGGACAGAGTGGGGTGGGAAGGCAGGCCAGGGAAGGGGTCTCATAGATGGCCCAGGCAAAGGAAGGAGGGACTAGGTCAGCAGCACTCCACATGGTAACATGACACTCTTTTTAGAGATGGACAGAGTTGACCTGAAAGGTGTTCCTGGTGAACTTCAACCTCTTCCTCCTCCCCTAACACAGATTCGGAGGCGCCGCCCCACCCCTGCCACACTTGTGCTGACCAGTGACCAGTCATCCCCAGGTAACCCAAAGGACAAGTGCCGGAAAGAAGGGAGTCCTTGTAAGAGGGTGGGTGCTAGAGAGGAAGGGCAGACCCAGGGGTAAGCGTTCACCCCATGCTGTCTCAGCACGATTTAAAGATGGGGGCCGTGCTAGCAGGGGAGAGCACCACCTGGTTCCTAAGTCTCCCAGGAACTGGGATGGTCAACTAAGTGCAGGGTTGCTGTGACAACAGCCTTCTAGGTTTCTCCGGCAACTGAGATGTCACTGTCCCCACTTCCAAATGCAGTGACAGCTGTGAGGGGGAGAGATGCCTCCATCCTCCAGCATCAGGTCCCCGGGGGGTAAGGCTTCAAACAGCTCAGGGAGAAAATGGGGTTCTGGTCACCAGAGTCCCCACCAAGGTCTGGAGAATGTCAGAAGAGCTTGGTAAAGCAAAAGAAGTAACCAGGCTAGTCTGAAATCTGGGATGCCCAAGTCTCCAGCTTCCCCCCAACTTCCACAAATGATGCACATCCCTGGGCCTGACTAGGACAAGGCTGGTGTCTCTCAGGGAGCCCTGATCCTGTGAAGGCTCAGCTCTGGCTGTGGGGGTGAAAGAGACCTGGAGGCTGCAGAGGAGGGAAAAAAGCAGAAGGACCCCAAATCTGCCTTCACAAACATCAAGGCCTGAGGCCAGAATACAGGCTTAGGCTACAAGGCCTAAGCCTTGACAAAGCCAAGCAACAGTACAGGGGATCCAGAGAGAGCAGGCTCCTGGGACTGCTCAGGATGCAGGTGACTATGGAGTCCCTTCTCCTTCAGAACTCAAGTCTTTGGGGACTCCCAGGATTTCCTGCTCTTATCACTGGCTTTGTTGTTGTTTGTTGTTGCTGTTGTTGTTGTTTCCGATTTCCCTCAGAGATAGATGAAGACAGGATTCCCAACACACTTCTCAAGGTGAGCTGGCCCCTCCTACTCAGTCCAGCCTCAAAAGATCCTGGCTCTCTAGATCTAGGGTGTGGCTCAGTGAGAAAGAGCACCCACTTAGATATACAGGCCCTGAGTAAGCTCCCCAGAACCCAAAGCAAAAACGTTGCTCCCCACCAGTAAGGCCTCTGATGCTCTCTTCCGGGTACCCACCCCCAAAAGGTGTGTGGGAGTACCTCTACACAAGCCCCACCTCCATCTCACCCAGTCTCCATGCTCAGCCTAGTGGAATCTTCTTTCTCCTGAAACCCACCTGCCCTGATCTCTAACCCAAAAGCATGCCAAGGCAAAGGGGTGGGGGAGGACTGGCACCTATCTAGGTTCTGTGTCCTTCACAGTCCACTTTGTCAATGTCTCCACGGCAACGGAAGAAGATGACAAGGACCACACCGACCATGAAAGGTTTGACATCTCCTTTCCAATTTCCCTCTGCCTGAAGCTAAAGAGAAGATCTAGTAGCCCTGTGCCGGGAACCCTTGGGAGGTCACTGGGTCTGCCTTTATTTGAGTAGAGCTAGTGCTATGTGGAGGAGTCTCTTGTAGTCCTGGTGAAACTGATTCATAGCCCAAGCCTAAATGCCACCTCCTCACTATGGTAGATAAATAGCACCTCATCAGCACAGCACATGGAAGGTACTATTCCTTGACTCCAAACTGAGGCCCCTCTCCTGCCCCTAGGAAGACCATAGACACCACTGCATTAGGAGTGTCTTGTGTACTTGAAGGCTCTTTCCCTCTCCTCCTTGCCTTTGAAAGAACATCTATGCTCCTGCTTTCATCTCCCTCCTTATTGCCCAGTCAGTGTTCCTCCCTGTTTAGGATCTCATCACATTGGAAATTCAAGCACCCAGAAATGTGCACAGACCCATTGGTGGGGCTATTGAATTTGAGAGACACCCCCCCCCCGGGGGGGAGATTTTAGGAGTCATAGCCAATGTTTTCTCCTTTCTCTATGCCCCCAGAGCTCCAGACAATGGTTGAGCATCACCTAGGGCAACAGAAGCAAGGAGAGGAACCTGAGGAAGCTGCTGAGAGCACAGGGACCCAGGAGTCCTGCCCACTTGAGATCCCAGACACAGACTCAGCGTCAAGGCCGGGTCCTCCTGGGATAGCACAAAGTATGTACAAGCCGGGAGGTGTGTTTCCCAATCAGCTTTACCCACTGAGGGAAGGGGAGGAGTCACAGCCTGGGAGAGATGGAATAGCAGGTCTAAGGCTCAGTCAAGGACATGGATGTATTCCACATATCACATGTTTGAATCACTTTGTCTTACTGTAAGATATATCTTACTGTAAGATATCTCTTGGACCAGAGATATCTTCATGTGGCTGGGAAATGAGGAAAAACCCACCAGGTTGGAAACAGAGCCAGGGCTACAGTCCCACCTCCACGACTGGCCAGTTCACCAGCTGAGCTGGTGCCGATTTCACTGGGGTTGCTTGGAGTCTTCCAGTGAGTCTGGTTCAACACTCGACACATACAAATCCTGCAGCACAGGGAATGCAGTGCTGATGGTGTTAATCCACGGCCACGGTTCCAAATTATTCCAGAATTCCTACCATTTCCAACTATGTGAAAGTGATACATACTGTCTGTTCTGTGTGTTATATAACACACCTACCTGGCAAAGCGTCCTGGAATCAAACACATGATTTTTTTCTACAGTCCAGTGAATGGTGACACTGAGTGAGATTGTATAGGCTCAAAGCAGTTCATGTTAGGCTTAGCCTCACCTGAGTTTATACTCTAATTTTATTTTTAACTTTTTAGAAGGCTTGGTGATTTTGTTTTGTTTTTGTTTTTACTTTTCAATCCCTGGCTACAGGGCGGGGGGGGGGGGGGGATAAAAAGCTATAATAGTAACTGACCAGACGCAGTTAGATCTACCCTACCAATGGCAGGGTAGATCTGTACCCAGTGGGTCTTGGGGCCCCTTCTCAGCAGCTGCAGCCCCTGTATAAGGGCTGGTTCTCCTCCACCACCCACTTTCCCTCCCTAGAGCCTGCAGCATCCACCCCCAAGATTCAAGAGCAGTGTGGTGTGCAGCCCAGCACAAAGGACCCTTCAGCCCCCTTGGCACCAATGGATTCCCAGGGAGCCAGCTTGGTAAGCCCCATGGACTGGGCTTTGGACCAGCAGAAGAGCAGGTTGTAGGGCCTAGTGTTTAGAGCCAGAGGTGTAGACAAAAGAGCAGCTTCATTTAGTCACTGAAAATTTAACCTTTGTGGTAAGAGGCCAAATATCTCCTGACAAAGAGAGAAGGGATTAAGTAGCTGCAGGGAGGATCGAATGGAAAGTTTGTTATGTATGCCTTCTGGAACAGGTGATGAAAGTAGGCCATGGATTTGATTTTATTTTTCAATAAAGGGCAGGTGGAACCAAAGTATTATGGGCTGAGAGCAGAGATACCTCCCAAACCCTGCCTAGAAGAGAGAGGGCTCGGATGAGATTAACAGCCTCTGAAGGTAGCTAGTTAGGCTAACCAGAGGGAAGCATGAGCCTATGGCCCATCAGTCACCTTCCCTTTCCTCCCCTGCAACAGGTCTGAAAGGAGTTGGCATCCCGGGATCACCACTGCAGTATGGAAACTCATGGACACTGGATGTTCCTTAATCTTGTTTTTAAAACTGATAAATGTGGTGTTGGGTCATTGGTGCTTTCCTTTTTTCCAGCCTGGGGATTCCTTCCTTCCTTAGCTCTTGTCTGCACTCCACAGCCCCTGTTTTCAGGACTAACTAGGGAAGGAAACAGGAAAACTGACAAAAGCCTAGATTTTACTTTCATAAAGAGAAATGGGAGTCTGGAAGTCAGAGAGCACCTCAGTGTTTTCTTTCCTTACTAAGGAAATCTCTGCCCACACAGAAGGGTTACACTCTGGGAGACTGTAGGTCTGAAACAGAAGCCCTGACAAGCTGGGCGCCCTGTGCTGTGTCGCCCTCTGCTGGACATAAGTGTGAAGTGCACGTGAGAGAACTTTTGCCTTGTAAACACCACACACATCCAGCCAGTCTCCCTTCTTTATTGATCTCTGGCTATATCAGGGGCCTGGGAGACCAAAGGCATGGGGGAGTCACATGCGGTTCAGAGTGGCAAGTCTAACGACCATGGAGATGGACTTCACGAGAACAGGGCCCACTGTACAAATGCATGGCTGGTATTTACAAGAAAGGAGGAGGCGGTCACCTGGACTTAGCCTTTTCTTGGAGGAGGTGGGGCAAGGAGTCTGAGGACAGGAAAAGGCTCTGCCTGGCTCCACTTGCTCTGTGTGCCCCAGGCAGCAACAGCCCTGCGCCCTTCCCCTTCTGCCTTCCACCCACAAGGGGCCCAGGGAGGGGAATCTTCGTGGGCCAGCTCTGGGAGAAGGAAGGCAGGAAGGAAGGAAGGACCCACTCTGACAACATGGATTGCTGGGTCATACCTTACCCCACTTGCCCCAGAGCCAGCTGTCCTCTCTTTCCTTTGTTCATACACACTGAAGGATGATCTCAAAGCATTTACAGACATTGGTCGGATGAGAGCCTCTTAGTCCCCGGGGACAGAAAGGAGGCAAAGGGCCAGAGACCCAGGTAGGGCAGGTGACAAGCTTCTAGAGCCCAGACCAGCCCCAAGTTCTTGAGGACCCTGGAAAGTCTTCCCACAGGCATAATCCCAAGGCTCCTGTCCTCTCCCAGCCACTGCCTGGGCACAGGAGAGGGAGAGATGCTAGAGCAGTGCACGTCTGGGCTCAAGAGGCCCCCACGTCATCCTCGTCATGCTAGGAAGTTACCGGAAAGGACACCTGCCCTTCCCATGCAGGCCCTTGAAAACTGCCAGCTTCCTTGGGAAACAGGGAAACCCAGACCTGCCAGCTAAGATCTGGGGTGGGGGCTGTGGGAACCCCCAAAATGTATTGCTTAGAAACTTGGAGGCAAGAAGGATGGGGAGGGCCAAGGGGGCTGGCATCTCTGACCCTCCCCTCCAGGCCATAGGAAGCCTGTAGGAAGCTCACCCCTCCCAAGTAGCCACCTACCCAAGAAGGGAGTCCAGAGGCAAGGGGTGGGCACAGTGACCATTGGGGGCCTGTGGTTCCCCAGGCTTGTGTCCCAGTGGGTATTGGATGGGGAGGGGACCTTCCCCCACCCCACCAGCTCCAGCATTTGGCTTTCCGGTGAGCTATCTCTCCCACAACCAACACACTCCCTTGGAGCAGATGGGGGAACCAGTCCGATGGATAGTGCTAATGACATCGAAGACTTTGGACTCCGTGAGGACCTGTTGAAAGAAGGAGACGCTTCAGTGTTCTGTTCTTGAACTTTATCTCTTAACCTGATCTTCCTTCTCCAAATCCTACCCAGTTCTCCCTTGTTCCTCAGAATAGCTAGAGGCTAATGCCTGTCAGATGCATGGCAGCCAATGGTACAAGCTGGGCTGAAATAAAGTCCCATTTACTCACTTGCCCCCATCGAGCCTAGACCGCTGCCTGCTCCATAATCTCAGAGCCTGGTGCATGTGTCACCCTGCCTGTGCTGTTCTGTTCCTTCTTCCTCCATGAAAGAACTACGGGACCAAAGAAGGTGGCAGCAGTCCCTTGCTCCCCACCCGTGCCCTGGCTCTATCTTGTGCCTCCAATTCTTCTCTACTGCCTAGAAAGAATATCCTGAAGCCAAGCTGGCTTTCCTGCCCCCCAGCTCACCTGGCCAGCCCCCAGTTCTCTAATCCAGATTCCCATTCTGGTTGTGCTCATCTTCTGCAGGGGAGGGCGGGGCCTCTTCCTCACAGGGGGATAGTTCATCAATGGACATCTGGTTGGTGATGCCTACAGAGGGTTCCAAGGAAGCTGACGTTAGGCCAAGAAATAGTTTCTCCAGTACCAAGGTGTATGTAAAGAAAAGAAGAGGCCTGACTCTCATCTCCTACCTCGCCCAATCTGAGGTACCTCCACCCCGCGCACATAAAAACTCACAGCCCCTGCTCACAGTGCAGCTGGAACCACCAAGTAACTCAGATCTCCAGAGCACCATTTGCAGACAGCCATGGCATATGCAGAGGGTCCCAGAATTTAGAATACTGTGGCTGCCCCGTCACCTGGAGAGCTTTCATTCTAGAACAGCCCAAGCCATTCAACCAGTCAGCCTTCGTGTGACCTCTTATCTTAGTCTGACTGGCTCCATTCCCAACTCTAGGAGTCAAAAAGCTGCCTGGGGCTTAACGCAAAGGGAACCTGCCGTTGTTCCACCAGTCCTAGAATGTAAACACACACATACACACACACACACACGCGCGCGCACACACACACATAACACCCACCACTTGCTGCCCGTTCCTTCCACTTCTGTTTGTTCTCCTGAATGTGCTTGGTCCAGGTGGAGCGGAAACTGACCACATCAGGGTTGGGGTCTCCTACGTCTACATCTAAAGAAGGCTGGCGCCACTGGAAGCTAGAAACAAGACCCATTCAAACGCCCAGTTCCTGAAGTGAGACCCAGCCCTCTTCAGAATCCGATTCTTAGCCCTCAGCATGGAGAAGATGGAAGACCAGAAAGGTCGGAGTCCTTTTTCCTCTTCTAGATACCCTCAAATCCTTGTCTGTCTTCCCATAGTTTTAGCCCTCCCTCTCCACACTCAGTCTCCTGGTAGAAGGAAAACAAGATTATCTGAAAGAAAGTTTAGACCCTTAAGGAAAAAATAATGTAGGGAGCTTAGGTGAGAGCTAGGCTCAGTCTGCTGTGACAAGAGAGGGGCTCTCAGACCTGAAGCATTCCACCTCCCTCCTCTCCTCCCTCACTTCCTGCCTACCCCCTCCCTCCCATCTAGGCTGTATCATTGCCGTGAAAGAATCATCTCTGTGCAGCCAATGAACCCCAGCCACAGGCACCTAGGCTGACTTTTAGACTTGGACTCATCATCTGCCAAGGGCTGGACACTCTTCTCTGCCACATCAGTCAGCACAGAGAAGGTGGGCTCCACAATGAAGTCGATGAAGCCTGCAGGAAGGGAGCATGTAGCACAACTGTCACACTTGGAGGACAAGGCAAACACAAGAGAGCCTGGTTGTGAGGCTGCAAGGGACACAGCCTGGAGAAGGGAGCTGGAGCTAGAACTCCAGTTGGGACAACTTGGGGACAGTAACTTTGTGAGCCCAGACAGCCCCTTTCCTTGTCCCCTGGACTCACCTATCTGAGACTGGGCCACCAATGTGGAGGTGCGATCACAGAGTGGAGAGAAGGGCAGCCCCAGCTCTGCTTCCTTGTCACCCTGGGAAGAGAAATGCCTCAGAGTTGGGAGGGCTGGGGAGATAAATGGCTGCAATGGGAGAAGGGGATGCTACCCTTTGACCTGGAAAGGAGGGGTGGAGTGGAGATAGCCAGTGTCCAGCTCTATGGTACAGACTTGCCCCACAGGCTTGGGATCAGTTCAGGAGTGAAAGGTAGCAGGTGGAACTCTGGAGTAGGTGTGGGAAGCTCGCAGGTCGGGGATAGGAAGGCTCCACTGACAGGGTTACCTGGCGGAAGAATTCTTCCATTAGGGCCTTGGTCCAGCGGCTGTGGACTGACCACTGCTTGGTTGGATGGCTGATGTCAGCAGCATGAAGCAGAAGAGATAGGGCCTTGGACTTGTCAATCCTGATTAAGGCAGGTGTTAAAGAAAGGGAAACTGATCTTCTAGGAAAAGGAGACCTTGGCCATTCTCCAACTTCCAGTCACACAAACACTCCTTTTCACATAACTCTAAGCAGTCTACACACAAGCAAACTCATCTGTATGTATAGACATAGAAGCACAGATCAGTAGCTGAGAACCCAGGCTCTTAGCATCAATGGGCATGAATTTGACTCCCCCTCATCTGTACCAGCCACGATTGTGAGACACTAAGCAAGTTACTGAAAACATCCATAATTCATTTTCTTCAAACCAAAAGTGAAAATAACAAGCCTATCACATATTGAGTTGTTCTGAGAATTAAATGACTTATAACAAGTATTTCTGACACATAATATGCACCTGGGATGTTATATACAATGGTCATCATTATGATCCTTGCCATTAACCCCCCAACAACTGCCCACAGTGACCCCGCAATCCCCATTCAGACACTATACACAGGTCAACACACACCTCCAGGACACTGAGCCCATTCTCTCTTACCCACACTTATACATTCCCAGTCACTTCTAAACAGCGTTAGATAGAATTGTAACATTTGTTCTGTCTTCATTTTTGTTCTTTTTTAACCTCACACAACCCTCGCAGTGGCCTTCTAAAGCAGGAGTTAGTGTGAAGGAGGGTACTTCACGGTTACCATTTCAGATGAGGACAAGTGTCTAGAAAAATCCGAATGTATTTCCCAACATTCCTGAGTAATCTTGCCCTGCAGCTACAATAAAAATTCCTATCCATGACAAGCAGTGGTGGCGCACGCCTTTAATCCCAGCACTCGGGAGGCAGAGGCAGGCAGATCTCTGTGAGTTGGAGGCCAGCCTGGTCTACTAGAGCTAGTTTCAGGACAGACTCCAAAGCAACACAGAAAAACCCTGTCTTGAAAAACCTATCCAGGCTCCTGGCCAATGCTCTCCATCAGACCTGTTAGACAAATCCAAAGCCATGTTCACAAACACCACACACAGTCATGTACACTCAGATGAGTGCCTAGAGTCAGGTAAGAACCTGCTCTACACTGCTCTAATCAGTGTACACACTGATTCACAAGACACTCCCTCTGGCCTGGCCCTGCCTACACCCTCCACGTGCTACCTTTCCAGCTGCTGCAGAGCTGTCTTCATGGACTTCACTTGCTGGAAATGGCAGGACATGTCCGTGGCCAACACCATCTCAATAACCAAGGCCCGAAGTTCTCTAAGTAGACAGACAGAGAAGAGACCGGTCCTCTCAGCACTGGGCAGGACTAAAGGATGTGGGGAAAAGAAGGCTGGGATAAGGGTCTCAGGGATGCTGCATGCTGTCCTGTGCTCACACAAACTCGTCCTTGGTGAGATTGATAAAAATGTTCATCTCATCGTCCTGCATCATTCGAAAAACAGAGCTGATGTGGTGATTCTCCAGCACCGAGCGATCGTTGTACAGGATGGCACATTCAGACCTGTGAAGCTGTATGTCACGCCCAGCCCCCTGTAAAGGGCTCCGCTGGCAACCCTGGCCCCTCCTGCCTCCACCATGCCCCACTGCTCACTTGGTCTGGATGTGGAAGCTGTTGGTGGTGCCCGTGTGCTCATAGTCATGGATGGCTGCAGCAAAGATGATGGCCAAGACCTCAATCTCTGACAGGCAGTGCTGGGGACGAGGAAGAGGAGAAACTTGGGCTAGCCCTCTGCCAGTCACTACCCAGACACCCCCACTGTTACAACATTCCATCCATCGTCAAAGCTAGCCATGTGTTTCAACTCTCAGAATGGCCAGAGAGCTTCCTCGGTCCCCATCAGTCATATACCCATATACCCCATCATGTGTCCCCAACAGTGCCCAAGAAGTATTAGTACACCTGAGAATTCTCTGGACAAAGTTAATGCATTTGACTCTGAAAGTGTTGGCACCCCATGGAAGCAGGATGAGGAAAAGGACACTGAGAGAGCAGCCAAGGCTTCCTAGTTCTGGGCCCATAGGATCTGACCAGCATGACCTACCACCATGCCTGTGCGGAGCAGGAAACAATGAACTGTCTGAGTCACATCGGCTGCATGGATCTGGTTGTGGTAAGGGTTCTTATATTTCCCATAGCCTGTCTCCAAGGCCTCCAGAAAACTCATCAGAAACACAGTGGGAATCTGCAGGAGAGGGAAGAATGGAGATATCAAGGATCTACAAGAGTGAAGAGACAGGCAATCCCAGCATTCTTTACATGGCAGTCAGGTGGAATGATGCTCACCTGTAACCGCAGCACTGGGCTAAAGCAGCAAAGGTTTGCAAGCTCCAGGCCAGGTGAGGTACACAAAGAGACTTTCTCAACCCCACTTCACCCACCTACCCTGCCCAAAAACAATTGGGTAGGGCCCATAGAACTAACACAGGCTCTGATCACTAGAGATGGGCGCAGATTTAGGCTCTACCATCTGCAGCCTGTGTGACCTTGGGTAATCCCTACGCCTCCCTGTGCCTTCCTAATTGCAAAATAAAGACGATACCACCTACCTGGGATTTAATGAGAAAAGTACAAGGCATTTAGTAAGTACTCTCTGAAGAGTATCTATAATTATTATTATTTCCCTGGAGATTTCTAAGAAAATGAAAGAAAGCTTTCCTCCTACCTTCCAACCACCTGCACCATCCCCAAAGCCACAAAGAAGGGCTCAGAGCAAAGGGAGGTAAGAGGAGCTGCAGGGCAGCCTTGCAGCAGATGTGGAGCACCTGCTCCTCTGAGAAGCCTTCCCTGATCACCTCCGCTCCACATATGCCAATGAGCAGCCCACCAGGCCCACAATATTTACAGACATGTACACACACCCAAGACAGAGCCACTCTCAATTCTGTTCCTGACTATAGATGCCCTTGGGTATCTTTGCCTCCTTCAAGAGACTCAAGGCTCCCAGAGGTCAAGGATAGTATATTCACCTGAGGCCAGGAAGGGACCCAGGGCTCAGGACTTGGGAGGCTTCTGCAGAGTGACAATAGTCAGAGAAGACATGTACTTGTCAGACCCTAGCTTCCCCCATCTCCACCCCTGGAGGGCTGTGCCCCAAATTCAGGGAATTTTAAAGGACTGTTTCCATGACAACTACTCTTGCTTTTGTGTTGCCATGGTGTCCCTAGAGGGAAGGGAAAAGAAAGGAGGGAACAGGGTGGGGAAAGACCAGGGAGTTTGGGAAGGAAGCCTGACCAGGACCCAGTGGACATCCCTTTCTCTAACTGTTGTGAAGCAGTCAAGCAGACTAACTAAAGCCAACCCAGGGCAGCTGCTCTTGGGACTCCCAAACCTCATCCATCCACATAGGTAAGGAGCTTGGAGAAGCTGGTGTCTAGAGTACATCTAAAAATGACAGAGTGAAACAGGATCTGGGAAAGGGACCCTGCCATTCTTGGCCTAAGGAGAGGAGTCTGAGGGGACAAGGAAAGTTCAGGAGGTAAGGCCTCAAGAAGGTCGGGAGGAAAACCCTGTTGAGCAGTTCAGGACTGATGTGACAGTTCTTAAGAGGTGTCAGAGAGGAAGAGTGAAGGAACAAGGAAAGGCTGCATGGACAGTATTCCAGTGAAGTAAGACAGGCCCACTAGGATACCCCACACACACCTTTTACTACTCAGCCTAGGCCGTTCCAGGCCTGCTACTTCACCTTCAATATCTACTGGCCACCCCAGGTGTCACCCCAGTGCCCCAGAGCCTCTTATCAACCCTTCTGAAGTGGTTTTTCCAGGCCCAGTTCCTTCCCAGAGCCATTCCCTCCAGACGAAGGATCTAGAGCAGCCTTCTATCCAGATCACAGCCCTTCCAAACTCTTCCCAGGGCTTTTCACACTGGCCCATCCCCTCTCCGAGAGAACAAATGAGAGACTCTAATCCCGAAAGATGACAGTACTGGGCTCTAGGTCTCCAGAGTCCACAGACAAGAGAAGAAGGGAGGCAACTGGCAGTCATCCCAGAGGGGACAGACTGTGGAGGAAAAGGCCATGAGCAGTGTTCCAAGCTAAATGCTGCAGGCCTAGAAGCATTCACTCCGGGAGTGAAGGGAGAGGCTGGATTACAGCAGTTTCAGTAGAGAAGGCTGGGGTGAGCAGGGGTGTCATCCCTGACACTGGGACAGGATGAGGGAACTGTGGAGTCTGCTCATTGGGAATCTTTTAGGCCAGCACAGAGAGGAGTGGAGAGAGCCCAGCCCACAGGGTGCTGCCCAGCCCACAGGGCGCTGCCCAACCTTGAAGCGGCTGATGAGGCTATGCCGAGTCAGCAACTCAAAAACAATGGTCCTCAGAGCGTGGTCATCTGCTGCCCGGTTCAAGGAAAAGACATCAAAGCACCAGAGGTCCAGGTTCTGCAGAAAAACAATATACTAGGCAGGAAAGCCCCCTCCAGAGCTCCCCTACCACAGGGAGATTAGTCAGACTTCTAGGCACACTCCCAATGACTCAAGAAAGCAAAGGTGGTTACATGGGCTTTCTCCCAGATGTCTCTCAGTATCAGAGAGACAAGAAGACAAGGGTTTGTCTCTGGGTGGAGCAAAAACTGTTCAAAAGAACATAGAAATACTAGTTAAAAGGGAAGTAAAAAAATCACAGCACAAACAGAATCTGGAAGTCCCAATGGCTATCTCAACCCCAACTTCTCCTCTTTCCCAAAAAACCCAGGGGTCACCTTGAGACAGTTGTGGACTGCAGTAGAATATGTGGGGCCCACAGCGGTATATGTTCTCCGGAACATCCTAAAAAAGACCATGGAGGATAAATCAAGTATATGGCCTGGGGAACAGAGCTTTAGCCAACTGGGTTGTGGAGATAGGTCTCGGGGTGACTGGGGTCATAAAAGATCAGGCTGGCTGGGACAGAGGGCACGGAAGAGATGGGGAGAGCCAGGGAGTGGCAAACCTCACCGCTCCACGAAGATGCCAGCCTGCACAGCATGCACAATGCTTCGGAACTTGGGCTTCTCTTCTGCCCTGCGACCTTTGGCTCGGGTCTGCTGGGTGAAGGTGGAGGCCAGCCAGTCCCGCACCTCTGAAGGCACAGCATCTGACCGAAGTTCCCGAAGCTCGTCCTCAGTATCCAGAATTTGCCTGGGACCAGGGGAACATTACAGAGGAAAGAAAGCAAGTGCTTCCATACTAGCAACCCAATACCTGCCATACCCACTTAGTGACCCCCTCAGTCCTCACCTTCCCTTCCCTTTACTACAGTGCCTTGTGTCTATGTTCCTACGGAACACCTCCAATCGTGAAAGAGCTCACAGTGGAACGTAGTGAAGTCATGTTTTAGCAGACAATGGAACGGTACGTTCCAGGGGTGCTACAGGGCAGCACAGTCTATCAGAAGTAAACTGCACGGTCCACATATGAAATTAAATTTTTTCTGGTATGGTAGAAGCAGGAAGACCAGAGTTCAAGGCCAATCTTAGCTAGATAGCAAGTTCAAGGCCAACCTGGACTATATGAGGCCTTGTCTAAAATAAAATAACAACAAAAAAATTTTCACTATTCTAGTAGCTACATTAAGCTGATAAGGAGCTTGATAGATGGCTGAATTGAGAACACCTGTTATTCTTGCAGAGAACCAGGCTTCAGTTCCCAGAGCCCACATCAAGCAGTTGAAACTGCCTGTTACTCCAGTTCCAGAAGATACTACACCCTCTCTGGCCTCCATGTTGGCAGAGGCACGCATGTAGTATATACGCATACATACATACATACATACATACACACATGCACATACAAGTAAAATTAATATAAATAAATCTTTTTCAAATTAAAGAAAAAATGTTTTAAAGACTGGTACATTTAATGAAAAATTTTATTTATGCTAATTCCTCCAAAATATTTTTAAAATAAATTAGCATATAATGAGTGAATGACGTTTTGTGGGGAGGAGGTCTGTCTGTAGAAGCCAGGATATAATTTACAGACACATTTCAATTCATCCTTGCACACTACAAGTTCAGAGTCATCCCTCCTGGCCAACACAAGTCTAGAGAGTATTCCACGCAGGTTTGAACCAGATGGTGTCTAGGGTCCCTTGCACCCCAGAAGCCACCACTGCTCTTCCTTTCATCTTTTCCAGTACTGGGGATCAAGCCAGGGTGCCAGGAAAGTGAGGTAAGCACCTCATGCTGAGCCCCACCCTGTCTTTGTCTGTCCCCGTCACTCAGCCCTCCCCAGCTCTGCATTCCTCTCTGGAGCTCTGCCTATCTGACATCTTCCTTCTCTGTATGTAGGCCTCTCTCACCGTGTCTCATCGATGTAGACAGCCTCCAGCAGGGAAGCTGTGTATTCCAAGTTTTTCTTCAGCTCCTCGATGTTAACCTCCCCATTCTCCAACTGCTTCACCATGTAGCGCAGCCTGCAGGATATGAGTGCAGATATCCTGTTTAGACACTATAGCTCAGTCAGGGGTTCCTCAATAGGGGGCACTTTGCAGAAACACTTTCAGTCTCCGAGCTGTTAATAATTCTAACACTAATGATAACAGCAGCCAGTGTTTTTGATGCCAGGCTATGGCTTCTGCCTGTAGTAAGTTTATCTACTGCCCCTACAGTGTTAGCCAAGGCAGGTAGCAGCCGCAGGAGTGATGTTTCTGGAGATGATTTGTTTCACAGTCTCAATATTTCCCCATGAGAGAAGGCTTTGGGATCAACACCAATCAAAACAATCCCCAGGATCCTTTCATTGTCTTGGTCAAGACAGAAAGGAGGAGCACATTCACGGCCCCTCAATCCTGGCAAGGGCTGGCAAGGACTGCAAAGGCACAGAACAAAGACCAACCTGAACGCTTTCGCCTGGCCTCACTCCACACAGGCAGAGCTAATGGATTATGATTCCAGAATCCATCAACCAGGACAAAGCAAGTTAACCCCTGGCTGCCCAGGCTCATGCCACAGATAACCTCTGGCAGTCACTGTGCCCATGTCCTGTCTCTGGCCCAGCTGAAGTTTTATCCTGGCAAAATAGTGGGATAAAACCAGGCTCTCTCTTTTGATGCCTTTCCAAGGGGACAGATCTTTCATCCTTTGCAGC